TGGTTGACCGATTTCACTCGGTTCCAGTCCCTGTGTGCCTTTCACTCCAGGTGCTATTTCTCAAGGGCCTCGTAACCAGTGATTGGGTCTAAGTGGCGAAATGTCGTGATACGTGACGAAGAGTGTAGAGCCAGACCGGATGAAGCGAGGTACAGTACAGGGTTGGCTCTTCACCATCGTCCTGGGCGTAAACGTGGTGCAGACTGGGCCCAACGACAAACAGAGCGACTGACAAAGTGAAGAGTCTTGGGCTCCGTGTCCTCCCGGCTGACTTACCAGATAGATTAAGTGCAATGGAAAGTCAAGGCAGAGTTCGAGAAAACTGAAGAACTTTGCGCGCTCCCAGTCAGGTATCAGATGAATGGCGCTGATGATGAAGCATGGAAGTACCGTGAACCTAAAGTAGAAAAATGGAAAACAATGAAGCGTAAAAGGTTTGTTGCCAAATAACCCTGACTCAGATGAGTTTCAGGTTGGTCTGATCATGACTGTCTGCGTGACGTTTGCATTCATTCCATTTCACTTCGCCAAGCATCCGAAATGGTGATTAACAACCGGACTGGTCTTGACATATCGCCCTTTGAACGAGGGTGTGATGGAATATGACATTAAATGTGAATCCGAGCATCCCATCCAATTGTTCCTTGATAGACTCGTTATAAGACAAATATAATCCATTTTTTATAAATAGTTTTTCGAGATTATCGTATATATCGTCGTATATATTATAAGTATTCGCCCTATTTCCTTTGAGGTGTAGTTGAATTTTCCTACAATAATTTAAATAGACCTTACGTTTTCATGCGATTTCGCATAGCACCCCCAGCGGGACTCGAACCATGACAGTGCAGCGTATAATCTCTACACGTTAACCACTACGCTATATTGCCTCGAGTGCCCTTAGGTGACAAGACAGATGTGGTGGGATTGCAATAGCATTAATCTTCTAAAGTGGATACGAAGAGAAACTTGGTTTCTATGAATCTCCTGAGATAACATTGTTAGGGGGACCTTCATTTCGGTTCGATTTCTTGTCATTTGTCTTCTCGCTACACTACAACCAAGAAAACTATATACCGACAAGTTAATAGAATTAGACCTTTGAAAATTTGTATTTCTCATAATGTTGTTCATAGGTGTTGTTTACTCGGGAGAAGTTATAATCTACTGACATGCACAAATAGAGGACTTGATCAAGTATCGTGTGGTTTAGTTAAAACTAGGCTCAAGTAAAGCATTACCAAACTGTACGCATTAATTAGAAACAAAACTAAGCTTAGACAATCTCTCTATGAACTATTGAATAATGTGGATTTCATTAAGTTACAAGACATGGCTGACGGGTTAGGAGAGGCGATTGACAGAACTACTCGTCGGGTACATGATATGAAGCTCAGGAATTTAGGAATTAGAATATGGTCGAGAAACTTTGCACATCAGACAAATCTTACTAACCATGTTTGTAACAGAGTAGTGAAGGATGAGGTAATCAATTTATCTAGTACAACTCTGGAGTATAGTGTAGTACT